TATGGTGGTGGGAAAGTGACTGAAACCAAGATGCCAGCTCAGAACCAATAACATTGCTGATTTATCTTTGGATTTTGTCAAGGAGTTCTAGATAAATAGCAGGAGCAACGGGCTATATTTAGCAGCAATATTCAAAACATGGATGAATGGTAGATTTATAGATATGTAAGATAGATTTTGCAGAGAAAAATTGTCTCACATGACACTGTGAACCAACTTTCTTAGCACCTGAACTAGCAATCGGTTCAATATAATCTTTCCACTCCATGTAAGCTGAGAATGTTAGACTGATATGGTCACTTTCCTGGAGGTTAGCATCAGCCATGATGCATGAAAAGCAAAAAGGGGTCTCTCAGATGATTAATAAAGAGCAGGTTTGTTTTTGAGGTGTTAAAATTAACACGCTATCCTTTGCCCCAATTAACAGCAGACTGCAGGTCATTTTTGAGATCAGCTACCAAATTGACCTTATCAATTTGATCAGACTGTATTGAGACAGGAGTAAATTGTTATTTCATCAACATTGATGCCAAGTTGAGAGCTGATGCCATCAGGAAATTCATTGATGAAAATTAAAAACAAAATAGAACCAAGGTTAGAGCAAGACACCTGCATTAGTACAAAAGGATCTAGAAGAGTGACCATTCAAGAGGACTTTCATTTCACAATTTGATAAGAAAGACTGAATCAGTTCAAATATTTGTGTAGAGACATCATGATTCTTCAACTTGTGTAGAAGACCAGTATGCCAATCTCTGTTGAATGCTTTTGAGATATCCAAAGGAACAGTTTGAACTTTCCAAGATATGTTTAATGCAACACGTTTTCTTTCTATTTTATTGCTTTTTTTCTTCATTCATTCTTTTCTTTATTTTTTCTTTTCCTTTATTCTTTCTTTTCTTCATTCTTTCTTTTCTTTCATTCTTTCATTATTGTCTATCTGTTTCTTTCTTTCTTTCTTTTCAGGACCTGTTTAATTCATTTCTTTCTTTCAAACATTTATTTCATTCCTCTTTTTTTTCCAATTCTTTCTTTCTTTTACTCTTCCTTTCTTTCATGCATTTATTTATTTCAATTCTTTTCCTTCCTTCTCTCTTTCTTTAATTTAATCCCTTTCCTTCTTTCTTTCTTCCTTTCTTTCTTGCCCAAGGTGCTTAAAGTCAATCAAAAATGGACACAAAAATATTTTAATTGACAGTGTAGTCTCTCAAAAATTCCAACGTAATATTTTCTTAACATTTTCAGTTTGTTTGAATGACTTTTGTCTTTTATTTCCTCTACGAATATGTCACTGTTTTTCGCTCTCAGTTTAATTTTAACTCTCGTACATTGAATGGTAGTAGAAGACATTTCATTATTTTAGAAGCTTCCCATTCAAAGCAGAGATTATAAGTTATTGATCCGTTTCAATTTTACACCAAAAGGTAAGGCAGTACACGACAACTTTGAATTATAGTATTCCTCAGATTTTTCTTTAAGATTTAAGTTCATTTTTACTTTTATTGCCATCAACAAATAAGATATAAATCTTTTCTTTCTTTCTTTTCATCTTTCTTTTTTACTTTCTTCTTTCTTTCTTTATTTCTTTCTTTCTTTCCATTCAAGTATTTATTTATTTATTCTATTCAAGTTTTTTACTTTCTCCCTTATTTCTTTCTTTTTTCTTTATTTATTTATTTATTTATTTATTTATTTCTTCCTTCCTTCCTTCCTTCCTGACTTGGATTCTAATTTTCAAAAATACATGCATGCATTCAACAATGAAAATGAAACATTCACCATAAAACTAATATTTGAAACACTTTTCTTGACTGATTCACGTGTATCTCTTTTGAGCAAAATAAACACATACTTTTGTCACTAGTACACTTGAGTGCCTAATGCAAGGGCAGGGTCTTACTAATAGAGGGGGATCAGAATTTTTCACAGTATGCAATAAAATTAAAAATCACTGAGCCGTGTTCCAATTCTCATTGTTTTTGTTATATTCACTTACATGCACTTGAGAAAGGGTATGAATCCACCTCTTCTCCCCCATCTATGGATTAATTAGTAAGACTTGTATCAGTAAATCATTATTATCACCATATAATGTTTGCAATCTAAAAATATTTTCTGGCTTTACATAAGCAATAAAAGGTTGATAAGCCATAAAAACAAATCAATCAATATATATTAATTCCACTTGAAGTCTGGATGAAACTTGAGTTTTCAACCCATTGTATTCTCATTCTTATAACAATATTATTTCTAGAAATATACTAACAAGAGATTAACTAGTTACTTCAGACTTTCTATGCATGCCAATGGCTCAACTCTACCAATAGTACCATTACATAAGGTTTGCCTATCATCCAGTTCACACCACCCCCACTTTTGAACAGAAGTAGAGATTTATCCCTTGTTTCCTGTTTAGAATTAGGTTTCCAGTTTCTTCTAAAGTCTACTTTCACACTATACTTCTAATGTCTCCGACTGAACTCTGAAATATTATTCATTAATTGAATTTTGACCTCCTCAAGTCTAAAGTTAGCCATTATCTTTCCTGCATAGCCATAAGAACTTCACTTCCTGCCCTTTCTTACACTAATACAACTCCACACAGTAACCCTCTACCTTGAGTGACTCTTAGGCCTTGTATTGGGTGAACACTAGTAAAAAAGAGAATAAAACTTTATTTGATACTAGAGAAAATACTACAGTGTTAAATTTGATACCGATGACAGTACAATATGATGAACGAGTGATACAGCTGAAATATTTAATCCTTTATACATAATGTTCACCATAAAGAATATGTACAATGAAATGGTGAAAAGTGCTTGGCCCAACCAAGAAGTCTTTCCCAGATGTTGGAAAGTTGCCTACACCAAGAAATCCTTAACATCCCCATCATATCTTTTACAAATTTGTTATTCCAACTCTGTATTTAGCCTGGTAATGGTTTTGTGGAATTTACTTCATTTAAACATTTTCCTGGTATTTAGACAACTTTCGAATAAGCTTGATTGCAGGTTGCACTTCCCACTTGATAAATAGTTAGAAATATTCAATGATTGCAAAAAGTGTCTTTCTTATAAAGAGGTCAAATGAAATGAGGGATTCTAAAAAAAAAATTGTGGCCTGAAAATCTTTTAAAAATCAAGTCAAAAATTTCAAATATAAGCAAGGATTTTTTTTAAAGTAATTTTATCAAAGAATGGAATTTGATAGTTTCAGAAAGAACAACAGAACACTGTTTTTTAAACTATGCAGTCATAAAAGCATGCATATTGGTTATTCAATGTGGTGTAATGGTTAACAAGCTTGTCTCTCTAGATCAATTACAACTGATTATTGAGTTTTATCCTCACTGAGTGCCCTGCTCTTTCAGCCTTGTGCCACATCTAAGCTATACTTAGAAAATCATAAAAGCATGCATATGAAAGTGATACTGATAAATGTAATAGTAAGATTAGTCATTTCCTTATAAGGCAACATTTAGCATTCATTGACTGAGTGGCCATTGCTACTTTCACTTGAAATTTATAAAATCTTTGCATTTTACCTTCAAAGAATTGGCTTGTTGGCTATGGTCAATTTTGCATCCTTGTATTCTGTGAAAGATTTTGGTAGCATATAATTCATGTCTGGAAATTGTAAAAGTTTGTGCCCAATTTTGATTGTTAATATAAAATGGCTACAATTTGACTCTGGTGTTTGTTTTGCTTCTAATTTCTTATTTGTTCTAGATATAAACCTTGCATTGTTCATTTTCAACAATTTGCAATTTCAACATCTCTCTATATTTCTGAGATGTCGTATTCTAACTATTTGCACTATTTACATTGTTCATATTATTGTCCTCATCTTTATTGCTATATTCACAATGTTTTGGCTGTTGTACACTCTGACCTTCTTCAGATGATATTAAATAGAATTTCCCCAAGGATACATGGCCCAGTAGATAAAAGCATTGGTTGAGTGATCCAAAAGTGACTTGACTCAGTAAGTTGTGAGTTCAATACCTGGCCACAGAAGAGGGAACAAAAACTTGGAGAGTTGAGTTACTAAAGGGAATTAAACTTAACTGAGATATCCAGAAAAAGGCATGGCATGTGGAATTAGAACAATGTACAATCTAAATAAAGGGTTCAGTTCAAAATTCCAACTAATATCACCTGAAGAAGGCTGGAGTGTACAACAATCAAAATGTTGTAAATATAACAAAAAAGATAAGGACAACAGTCCAAACAATGTAAATAGTGTAAATTGCAATTTCATTCCGGCATCTGTAATTATGTTATGTTGCCAAGATTTGAAGAATGATTGTCAAAGAAATTATCTAAGAACTGAAGAGTCTGATTATTTGGCACTTCTTTATGGGGATTTAGAAAAAACCTAATTTTTCCATCAGTCACAAGATCAACAGACCATTATTATTATTCCCAAGACAAATTTTTCTTCAATGCAAATATGATCAAGTGTTCTCTTATTTCATGACCGAACCAACTGCAAAAGGTTGCCAATTCTCACCATATTTTGTATAAAGAATCAAAAATCAGATACAATGCCAACAATCTGATAACAAATTTATATTGTCAGGTTTGGTTTTGTTTACTTCAGCTATTCATTTTCCCCTGTATAATAAAGTCATTTCTTGAATGAGACATGGCTTAACTCTTTCCATGTAGAGCCTATTTCTAAAATTTAACAGTTTTAAAGAAAATCAAATTTAAATTCAATTTGTGAGCACAAGTTAACCATTTTATGCCATATGTGTTCTGGTAAGATTATGTGACAGTGCGGAAACAACCCTATGACCACACTTGGTCATGGGACTGAAGATAATGAGATAGATAGATATGAATAGACTTCAATAAATATGAATAGACATAGATAGCTAGATATGAATAGACTGACAGATATGAATAGATTGATATAGATAAATAGATATGACAAAGACTGAGATAGATATGAACTGTGTGAGATAGATATATATGAATATACTGAGATAGAGATCAATAGACTGAGATAGATAGATAGATAGATAGATAGATAGATAGATAGATAGATAGATTGTGTTCTGGTAAGATTATATTGTTTATCATCATTTTTATAGAACTCAAATGCAAAACAATTGTTAGTTGATTTTATATGACAACACTTGTTGGGTTATTGAATATCGAAAATGGTCTTTTTCGTATGTGAGTCTATAATTTACTTGGTTTGGAAAGATATTCTTTTTTTATATTTGAGTCTCTAATTATTTATCTTATTAGGCACACTTCCCTCTGTGGAACTCCCCTTCCCACAATCTTTAAAAAATTAAATGCAATGTCAATCACCCTCTTCTGTCTTCTTGAAGCCTATTCCTTTCTTGCCCTTTCCACAACCCTCTTCATTTTCAGTTTTCTCATTCTCATTCACTTTCACTCCCTGTAACACCCCCCCCCTGCATTCTAGTGCCATTTCCACCTTGCTTGGGGTAAAAATGATTAAAAAATAAAAATAGGTACATATTGATCAATTATATATGAACCTGTAAGCATTGACATGGTTAGGGGATAGGTAAATATTGATCATTTATATTTGCGTCTATAATCATCTACATGGTCCAAGGAGAGGCAAACATTGGTCATTTATATTCTTATATGTTAAAAATGAAATTACTTAATAATTTTGACTGATCAGTCATAGTTTGATAGTTACTTACGATGTGAAACTGACATTCATTATGCAATGTTGGTTTCTATGTTCACAGTCTTTATATTTAAAAATGCACTAGCCTTAATGAATATAGCAAATATTAAACAACACTTCTTGGGTTAACATTCTTGGCTGACATAAGGTGGAAAGACTATATTGAATCAATTGCTAGTTCAGCTGCTAAGAAAGTCAGTTCACAGTGTCATGCGAGACAATTTTTCTCTCCAGAATCTATTTTACATATCTTTAAGTTAACCATTTTCCCATGCTTAGAATATTGCTGCCACATATGGTCTGGTACTTCTGATATTTACCTAGAGCACCTTGATAAAATCCAAAGAAGAATCAGCAATATCATTCGTCCTAATCTGGCAGCTCAGCTTCAATCACTTACCCCACTGCCATAAGGTTGCCTCTCTATGACTTTTCTATAAATACTTTCATGATAATTATTCAGATATAGACTTTTTGAATTTAAGTACAGTACTAGACTGGCATCAAGATCTCATCAGTTTACAGTTGAGCTGGCTAGATGTCACCATAAATTCTATGTTAACCCTAACTCTTGTACTTCTCACTTGTGGAACTCCCTTCTGGTTCAATGCTTTCCAACTTTAATCTTCAAAAATTTAAATGTAATGTCAATCACTATCTACTGTCCTCCTGATTACTCTTTCCTCTTACTCATTATTAATGTTTCTGTTCCTAATTCTCCCACACCCAGCAACCCCTTGTGTTTTAGTGGCATTAATGCCTTGCTTGGGGGTGATACTGATTAAAAATGAATATATATATATATATAGTTATTTGTCTATATATATATATATATATATATATATATATATATATATATATATATATAACGCTAATAAATACTAATATATACACCACAGATCCTAGTAAAAAAATAAGATTAATAATATACTATACTAAATTCAACATATCCAATTTAATCATTTGTAATGACTCCTCCCCAACAACTAAGGTGTTGCAGAAAATCAACATTGTATATAAATTTAAATGTCCCTTGGGAGATTGTATCTCCAACAGAAAAATTATGTATATGTAGTCATACTACTACTACCTTGTCTTGGTTGAGTTTTCATTTAAATGATGTATCTAACATCTCTCAATATTTACAACATGCCTGTCCACATTCACAATTTAGGAAAATTCTTGTTGAAAACACATCTATATTTTTTCATGAAAATAATAAACTAAAAATTCTTGAAGCTATCTCAATTAAAAAGTTGAAACTAACCCTTAATAAAAATTAATTATGAATATTGCACAAATATTTTAAAATGATTACAGTAGATGGTTTAAAAAAAATTAAAGTTTTAACTAATAGCTTTAAATAGTTTTTAAAAAAATAAACATCTCAATAACTAAGTTACCTCACTTGACATTACTATACATGTATGTTTATATCATAAATTTAAACACAAGTTTATCGTTTTTCACTTCACAAATAAAAAAGACCTTGATGATGACATTGGGCTAATATCGAAAGTACTGGGAATAAAATGAATATGCATCAACATGGTAACTTTCTTTCTTCCTTTAATTAGTATACTAAGAAACTTGTCTGTAATTACGAGACGATCCTATTAAAAAGAAGTAGACAAAATTTGTCTAAATTATTTAATGAAACATGTCTTATATATATATATATATATATATATATATATATATATATATTTTAGGACGCCCAAGGCTAAGATACAAAGACAAGCTGAAAAGCAACTTGTCAGCAGTCAATATACATATAACACCCTTGAGTGCTTAGCTTTGGAGCGGGTAGAATGGAGATCAATGTGTTTTAGTGGACTCAGCCATTTTCAATCTGCTTGTCTGAATCATCTTCAAGAAGCAAGAGCAAGATCTGTGTAGCGAAAAAAAACATATTTTAAATCAATTAATTTATAATATATATATATATATAATAATTATGGACTCTCCGTCAAATTTGACGTATGAGGATCTGACAGCTTATTGATTCAGTTATGAAAGTTTGTGCGATACTTAAATTGAACAAGGGATGTCTAGATTTTCCTTATGTCAGTATCATTGTATCAGTTATTAGCTACAATTTGGTAAGGGGTAGGGATGTATTTTACAATGAAACCTGACATCAGTTGAATGGATGTCGTCTGAATTTTTTTTTTTTTTAAATTGTTAACGGTAAAAAAATTTCAATGTCATTTTTTAATTTTTTAAATTTAAAGATTTTCGGGTTTTTTTTTTTTTTTTTTTTTTCCTAATACTTTTTATTTAACTACGATTTGAAATATTCTCCTTTTTAATTTTTATTTTACTATATTCTTTTTAAGAACAGTTAAATGTATTAGAATCCATTATATTATGTAGGATTATTTTAACATCAAGTTTAAGTATGTATATGAGGTTACATTTTTTTTTTTTTTTTTTTTAAATTTATGACTATGACGGCAAAAATGGTTACTTAATTTCACTGATTTAGTAAACTTTTATTTTATATATAAACCTAGTATTATAATGTTTCTCATGTAAGTACTAAGGGCATGGGCCATTCAAAAGCTTACATCTTATGGCATTTCATATTAATTTTATTTTACTATAGGTGTTTGTTTTTTTTTTTGTTTTTTTGTTTTTTTGGATTCTTTTTAGTGCGTGTAGTATTATTTAAAAGAAATTTAGGTTAGAATTCATTCAATTTAACTACAATTTTAATTACAATTTCAAAATTACAACTTTAAAATTTTAAAATATTTTCATTGTTTAGTTTTAATAGACTATATTTCTTTATAACAGAAGGAAAATTACTCATAGTAAGTAAAATTATTTTTCCATATCAAAGTATATGTAAATTACAATTTTTTTTTTTTTTTTAAACTTTTAAATTTAAATATTATTTAAGTAATATTAATGGCACTTACTACAAAACTAGCTAAGTCATTTCTCAGATTTAGTAAACTTTATTTATTAATTAATTTATTTATTTATTTCAAATATATGTAACCTAAGTAATAAAGTTTCATATGTATGTATAAAGAACAGGTTAGAATTCATTTTATTTAACTACAATTTTAATTACAATTTTAAAATTACAACTTTAAAATTTTTAAATATTTTCATTGTTAGTTTTAATAGACTATATTACTTTATAACAGAAGGATAATTACTCATAGTAAGTAAAATTATTTTTCCATATCAAAGTATATGTAAATTACAATTTTTAAACTTTTATATTTAGATATTATTTAAGTAAAATTAATGGCACAGACTACAAAACTATCTAAGCCATTTCTCAGATTTAGTAAACTTTATGTATTAATTCAAGTTTAAGTATGTATATGAGGTTACATCGTTTTTTTTTTTTGTTTTTTGTTTTTTTATTAAATTTATGATGACTATGACAGCAAAAATGGTAACTTAATTTCACTGATTTCGTAAACTTTTACTTTATATATAAACCTAGTAATATAATGTTTCTCATGTAAGTACAAAGGACATGGGTCATTCAAAAGCTTACATCTTATGGCATTTCATATTAATTTTATTTTACTATAGGTGTTTTTTTTTTTTTTTTTTTTTTCTTTTGTAGTATTATTTAAAAAGAAATTTAGGTTAGAATTCATTCAATTTAACTATAATTTTAATTTCAATTTTAAAATTATAAACTTTAAACTTTTAAAATATTTTCATTGTTAGTTTTAATAGACTATATTACTTTATAACAGAAGGAAAATTACTCATAGTAAGTAAAATTATTTTTCAATATGCAAGTATATGTAAATTACAATTTTTAAATTTTTATATTTAAATATTATTTAAGTAATATTAATGGAACTTACTACAAAACTAGCTAAGTCATTTCTCAGATTTAGTAATCTTTATTTATTAATTAATTTATTTATTTTAAATATATGTAACCTAAGTAATAAAGTTTCATATGTATGTACAAAGAACAGGTTAAAATTCATTTTATTTAACTACAATTTTAATTACAATTTTAAAATTACCACTTTAAAATTTTAAAATATTATCATTGTTAGTTTTAATAGAATATATTACTTTATAACAGAAGGATAATTACTCATAGTAAGTAAAATTATTTTTCCATATCAAAGTATATGTAAATTACAATTTTTAAACTATTATATTTAAATATTATTTTAGTAATATAAATGGCACAGACTACAAAACTATCTAAGTCATTTCTCAGATTTAGTAAACTTTATGTATTAATTAATTAATTTATTTATTTTAAATATATATAACCTGAGTAATAAAGTTTCATATGTATGTACAAAGAACAATGGGTCATACATTACCTTACATCATCTAGCTTTTTTATAATTTCATTTTTTCAGTAGGTGTTTTATTGGATTCATT